ACAATAAACTTTATGTACTGTATGGTTATTAATGTTGCTCGAAGGGGACTTTAACCCGACCTTGCTCGAATTGACTTCTCTTGATTCAGCACGTTGACTCTAACTAAACTCCGACAGAGGTTCCACGTTAGACGACGTTCAGAAATCAAATGGGTCCGAGGCGTCTTCTCCACAACCCTTTTTATACTCTAAAATGGGTAGAAAACGAGTAGTGGTAGAGACGGTGGGAACGAATCAACGCGACGTTTTCGTCTAACGAATTTTCATCGCGTTGGTCCGAAGACGTTAGATGTTCTTGAGCGAAGCCTAATTAAGGAAACCCTGGTAACTGGGAAAGCTAGGCAAGACTAAACTCTCGCTTCGCGGTGGTCTTCGACTATTCTCGAATATTCATCTCTAAGGAATAAAAATCATCGGCGTACGCAACAACCTAAGAGCTAAAATTTAAAAATTAGAAAATCCTAAACTTCCAAATTCAAAAATTCCAAAACTCCAAAACTCCAAAACTCCCAAACTCCAAAACTCCAAAATTCCAAAATTCCAAAATTCTAAAATTCCAACATTTCAAAATTTCAAGATTCCAAACTTCCAAACTTCCAAACTTCCAAACTTCCAAAACTCCAAAATTCCAAAGTTTCAAACTTCCAAACTTCCAAACCTCCAAAACTCCAAAATTCCAAAATTTACAGATTCTACAATTCCAGAATTCAAAACTTCAAAAGTTCGAAGAATTAAACTGAATTTCCGTGTTAAAATAAGTCCAGTAAAACAACTTTATAAATATCACGTAGCTATGTAAAATGCATACGATAAATATTGAAAACGTAACGATTTATTTTGCACGGTTGGTAATAATGAAAATAAATATGCATTAAAATAAATTCTCCTTCATATTCATAAGTATTATTAATTTTATAACGCGTCGGATTATCGTTTTCTCGCAAATAATTTCTATGCTGATATCATACAATGTTATTTAATGAAATGTATTTTCATATACGAAATAATAAACGGCTCAACGAATTTAATTTATTCGAAAATTTTTACTTTCGTATTTTAAAGTATATCTGATCACGCTTCGATTCGTTAAATCACAAGCTACGGAATCAAAGAACCTGTATATTTTATTAATGATGCGTATTAAAAAGTAAATACTTATTTTTTTTTATTACTTCAATCAATTCGATAAAATTAAGTGTCTCTGTAAAAGACCAGAAGAAGTTAAAATTTCTTTCCAATGTACACTTTAATACTCACTAAAGGAATCAATATAATTTTTTACAGTACATTGAACAAAAATTTTTATTTAAACAATACATATCTGTGCACAATATATTCCCTGTTTTTGTTCAATTCTAGTTTTACAAAATGTAACTATATTTTTTAGAAGTCCTCTTTTCGTACTTTTTCTCAATTGTTGTCACTAATTTAAAAAATCAACACAACAGTTATTCACACTATTCACGATGCAAAAAAAGGATACGAGGACGTGAATGCCTTTAAAAATGAATTTTGTATTTTAATATCTCGACTGCGTGCAGCATGCGAAGAGCTTTGCTTACAAAGCAAACAAGCACGTAGCTCTCTCTCCGGTTGGTTTTTTCCCCTGGCAGGAAATTCTACGATGAAAAAACAATTATTACTCTCGGAAAATAATAATATTTGTACCTGTTCCGATGCACGGCCAATTTAGTCGATAAAGTAAACAGACCCGAAGCGGATTTCACCTCGCCTTACTTTCGTACTGATTCGATGCGTGTATTTGTGCTTACAAACCGTTCTATTTCTCTTTAATGAGCGTTCCATGATTCTTTTTTACTCTAAAAGCTTTGAAATAAACATGTATAGAGCACTTTAGTAACATTACACTGATAAACACAGTTTTAGTAACGATTCATAAAAATTATTCCTCGAATATTACTTTGGTAATTACTTAGAACCTTGTAAGTTATGTTAGGTCAGGTTAGGAAATATTTTAAAAATGTTATGATACTTTGTTTTAAAGGTTAATGAGTATCTATGTGTATAATTTCTACTATTTGTATAATAGCTACTTGATCCGCTCAGTAATTGTCCGTTCACTAACCGTTCGTTACCTAACCGCTCGCTAACTGTTTGCTCACTATTAGTCTGCTCAATAATGACCGATTTAGACAACTCTGTAATTTATGGTATACAGACAATCTCTGTATAAATTAAACTAGGAGAATAAAAGTGTATTTTGAATACATTGTAATAAAGATTATTTGATAAAACCACATAAATGTAAGGACTAGTAAAAATTTCTCGGACAGATAACGTTACAAACATTTCCTGAAGTAGCTGATTATCCTCCGTTTTCTTAACAGTCAATAAAAATTCTTATATTTTATTCGTTTGAAGCTGATATATTAACTGATATATTGACTGATCTTTCATTTAAAATTTATTTCATATAAAAATGTCTTTTGACAAAACCACCTAAAACAGATGTTTATGATCAAATTAAAAAATGACATTAACCCCTTTCATTTTGTTTATCGAATACAATAATAAACAAAACCTTTATTGAGTGGTATCTGTAAGCTACATAATAAGGCATCGATGTATTAGCAGCTATTTCATTCAAATCGAGATATTCAGAATTCCCGAAGGTTTCCCGTACTTGTCAAAGAGCTGTTCATCTTCAAAGAGCTTCATCCAAGAATCACCCCGTCAGCGATCCTCTAATCACATCAAGCAGAACTTAAGAGATTCCTCAGAAAGGTACCTACTCTGGTGGAAGGTTAATTGCTCTGAAAACAAAAACGGGCTCTCGTCTGACTCTGCCCCGTTTCCAATCATTATATCACGCGATCTCGTCGTCAGAGGCTCCGATAGAAAGGGATACTTACGCCGCCAATGGCGGAGTAGAATAAAGAGCAGATATTGCGACGCCAGTGCGAACGTGGGAATCCACGGCTGCTATCCGCTCAGCCTCATTAATGATGATGTGCTTGCCACCCAGTTGCAGTTCCATCTTCTATCTCTCTCCCCGGTGTACGTACATCCATACCCTCTACATATTTCAACGTGTGTATGCCTGTGTCTACAGGAGGTCCTGCTTCCTCTATCATCGTCGCTCTTCCTCCCAATCCTCTTCTCTTTCTACCGCGATGCTTTGCCAAGGAGACCCCCGTGGAAGCTGACGCCCGACCAGCCACCACATTCACCCTCCACGTTTCTCCCGTGGTGGATTCAACCCTCCTACAGGCTGGTCGACCTACCTACCTACCCCCATTCCACTTCTCCTCTGCCTCCTGGCCACCGGGATACATCCCGTACATCTCGAACAGGCCGTTTTCTACCCACCCCGAACTCAATTCCGCGCAACCTGCGCGGACTTTTTCGCTCCCACCGTTAAGTTCTTAGGTGATATTAATAGGAAACCGCCGGGAGATCGAGCGAGGGACGTTCTATTACGGGATGATTTGTGATTCTGCGAGTTCTGCTTCTGGATGAATTTGGTTTCTTCATTTTCGTTTCTCTCTTTTGCGCTGATGCTTTCTCATTTAGGGGATGAGGGTAGGTAAGATGGAAGAATTTGAGGATAAATGACGCGGGAAAAGGTGATACGATGATTAAGATTGTATTGCAATAATAGAGTTCAGAAATTCGGACATTAGTCTTCACTTTTGTGGCTATTGATGAATTTTTGGAGTACATAATTTTTAACTTTTAACGAGTCACGTGAGATTTAAATCTTTCTACTCGAAAGCTGACATAACATTCAGGTTAATACAAGTTGAAATAAATATTTTAACTACATCTATGGTGTTATGTATGCAATGTATGTACATGAAATAAGCAACAGTATCTATTAAAACTTTGTGGTTATATTGCTACTAAAACTGTACTCTTTAATTTGCTTACAAAGACTAGAAAAAGTTAGTAATAGAAAAATGATAATTTAAAAAATAAAACAAAAAGTTTTTAGTCTGCTATCTGAAGACAAAAATATCTTTGAAAACAAAGGATTAATAAACCCTAACCAACTTTAAACGCTCATGTCATTAAACAAACCTTCTCTTTTATGTTCTGCTTTGTTTTCGAAATTTAAGAATAAAAATAGTTATATCTCATATTTAGTTTATAAAATTTAATTTTCTACATACAATTGAATATTTGAATACCATAAATGTTTCGATAATTTTGCTTATCTGGAAGCGATTTTAATTGCAAGCCTTCTTAAAATGTTTCGCTATGTATTGCGCTTGGTTGAACGTGCTTTTTCATACATATAAAGCTAAATAAGTGAGCTTAATTGGATTTCTTGCTCCCCTGTTGAGACTTTGAATGGCATCAATGGAGCCATTCAAGAAGATACTCTGGCATTAAGTGATCATTTGTGAACGTATTTTAAGAATCAATCATTGCCAAGTCCTGGATAAAGAGGGGAGATTCAATTTGCAATGTATTTATGGAGAAACGTGTATTAATGCTCGTTAATATTTAAATGTTTTGTATGGTCCCTCTTTACTTAAAATCTAAACAAATTTTTATTACAACTCTTTCTTCTATGTTAATGCTAATTGTAATTAATATTTTATAATATTATAATAATTAATACATCAAAAAGTTATAGAAAATATTAGGGGTACTGAAAAGTAATCAAAATTTTGTTTACTGGCAAAAAACATTTATTTACTAAAGAAATCTTAAATGCTAATTAACGAAATAATTTCCATCATTTTCTAACGCTTTTTGCCAGCGTAAAGGCAATTGTTCGATTCCCTTCTTAAAAAAAGTCCTTCGATTTTTCATTGAAAAACTTTGAAGTCGTTGAAGAAATTTTGAATACTTTTCGGTACCCCTAATATATTGGCAAAGAGAAATATTTATCGGAATTAATTAATTAACAAAAAATTCAGTCTAATCGAAGATACTATAAAAATTTAATTCTTGAATTATTATTGAAAATGTAATTTTATCGGACAATTCGAACACGAAGATAATATAAATTCGTTACGATTGATGTTTAGCAGTGCAACATGAGCGTGGACCAAGGAAGCCAAAGCAACATCAACAACAATCACCAATCACAACACCAATACACAACGATCGACTAAGAACTGGTATTGGCTCTCCTTACGTTCTATCACCTCACAGGTGTGTATTACATTTTTATAAATAATAGAATATCTCGTTTCAATTCCAGAAATCAATCCATACAATGAAACTGCAAATCAATGATTTGAAAACTATTTTGCAGTTGTTTTGAAATAAAATAACCCCAAGTACCAGAAGTTTGAAAAGAATATGTTTAAGATATTTCCAAAACATGCGAATCAATGAATCAATGTCTTGAAAAAAGGTTCTTTAATTGTTATAAAATAAAAGTACCACAATTATCAAGGTTTTGAAAAGAATGTTTTTAAAATATGACGAATCTGTACAAATAAATGGGTTGATGAATTGGAAAATACTCTTCAATTGTAATAAAATAAAATAATCTCAACTATCAAGGGCTTGAATAGAATATGTTTAAAATACGTGTAAATTAATGAGTGAATGAATTGAAAAATATTTTTCAATTTTAATACAAGAAAATGATTTACCAGGGTTTTGAAAAGAATATATTCAACATTTGTTCAAATGTGCAAATCAATGAGTCCATTAATGTTTCTCACTTACAATAGTATAATAACTTTTATTCCCAGGGGTTCGAAAAGAAATTGAAATTGTACGAATTCAGAAATGCTTTCCAACAGATATAAAATAAAATAAAATGAATGGGGTAAGTGCAGACTGGTTTTTGTAAAGTTAGTATTTAAACGTAAGTAAGTATTTTCAGTTTGCTATGTAAATACTTAACGCTGTCGATATCGAACGCTTTGCACAATTACTATTATTTAATTAATATTAATTAAGACCTTAACTTTCCTTGTACATTTTGATTTTGAATGGAAATTGTTTAAAATGTCAACTACTTTGCACTTTCCCCGAAAATGGGATAAGAGCGTAACTTGAAGTTAAATACTTTGAAACTTTACTTCATGTGCAATGGGACAAGAGTAGCATTATTAACAAATCTGTTATAAAATGCTTTTTACTGCATTATACAAGTACTCTAAGCTGAAATATAAAAGGGGATATAGTGAAACAAACCAAGGAAATAAACATACTAAATAGAGAAATTTCGCTCATATTGTAATAAAAATAGCCTGTATACGCACTTGCCCCGTTTACTAACTTACCCCATTTCACCTTACCCTTAATTATCGGGGAAAGAATATATGGAAAAAGAATCTTTAATAGAATTAAAAAGACAATTATTAAGGTTTATGTACTGAAATTAACATTCTGATGTTTGCAGAAGGTTTCGATGTGATCAGAGGTTCACACCTTATCCACGACCAGTGGCATTGGTGCAGAAACCACCAGAGGACTCTCCATCCCCTGCACCATTGGCTCTGCCGCATTCTCCTTCGACCACGACCCTTTATTCAGCACCCCCAACCGTCACCCTGGCACCGCAACCACCCCTTCTTCAGATACTAATGTCCGCCGAGAAGTGTCAGGTAAGTAATTCAGCTCAATTTACTCGAGTTTCGTGTTTCCCCTTTGCAAACTTTATAACAGCAACTCGACAAATCCTATCTCTTTCAAGAAGTGGACCAAAGTTGAGTATCCTATTTATTCTTGTTCCTATTTTGTCCTAAAACATAGTTTATTTTCTCTGTCAAAGTTCAATTTTGAAAAAATAATTTTAAAATTGAAGAAATAGTTGAGACAAAAAAATATCCAAATGTTATTGATATATTACCGACAGGAAATCTATTAATACGTTGACTGCCATTTTGGTTATCGATGGCTGACATCGCAAATTTAATTTAAATAAATATTTAGCGACAGTTCCTGACGTTTATTTATAACTTTAATGTTCAATTTATTTTTACTTCTACTTCATTTTTATCAAATTTTAATTACAATTCAAGAATTAACATCTCTCTTTTTAGGAATGATGTTTATTCATACGAATCATATACGTCTTTGATTTAAACACTAAATAAATATTTAATAATTTTGTAGTGTACATGCACTGAAATTTTCGAATAGAATTTTATAATTTCTTTGTTGAATTAAAATCAATCAATAAAAAATTGATATCACAGTTGAAAAGATGTATTGAATATAGAAGACTAAAATAAATACAGAATAAGTTTTGATTAAAATCTCAATAGCATTAATTCAAATTATAATAGAATCTCATGTTGTCATCGTGGAAGGGGGCTGTAGAAGCAAAAATCTATTGAATTGTGTCTATAGCAGGGTCATTTCACACCAAATTACTTTTGGACGTTACTATTTGCGATTTTGCTCTAATCAAAATATGTTGTAGTCCATGTGAAACTTTGGGGGGGGGGTTAAGTCATCATTTTTCCGGTTTCGAATTTGTTAAGGAATGACAAGCCTTCAAAGTTTGCATTTTTTGCCCAGTTTGGCGAAAATAGGGTTCACTTAGGAATTTTTTTCTCAGAAACTACTTAATCGATTTAGCTAAATTTTCTTTTGTTTTATTCATGAAGGATTAGGCTATTCTAAAATATTTTTTTTAGTTCCGTCAATATTTGTTATAAAATGTCGAAAAATTTAAACAAACCCTTTTTTTGCGTTTTTCTCAATGACGGGCGTAAAGGCTTAAAATTAAAAAAAAAATGGTCATATTGTTTGACTATTTAGTGGCTCACTCTACTGGTTCACTCCCTCACCGTTTCAATGACCGATTTCATATATTCTGATTCGTATTTTTGTGTCTACACCACGTTTTATAAGAGTATTAACAAATCTCACAAAACCACATTACACGTAAATAAAAGATAACGCTATGTAGTTTAAACACTGTAGGAACACCTCTTTGCACTAACAAACGAGATTGAAAATATTTTGAAATTACATATTTTGTGAATTTTCTAAAAAAGTAAATTATCAAAGTTAAAATACATGTATCATATCTTTGGGAAAAATTATAATTAAATTATCAAAAACTGAACTCGCGTAGAGAACTCTACTGTATACAAGAGAAGCAGCACCGCGTAAAGTTCCACCATGCCTAAGAGGTTAAGTAGGAGTATTTGTTTTAATTATATTGAAAACGAAAGAATGTTTCATACGGAATTTCAATAGTATTACATTATCGATACCAATGAAATCCATTATAAATTCTAATAAAATTGCAGGTATTGAATGATAAAATAAAATTATTGATTTTGTTTTATGAAATACAGAGGCAGTGCGCATTATAGGTTGTTCATAAAATATGAAAGGGAGAATTACATATTCAATCACTTAACCTACTTAACCTATTTGTTAAGACAAATAAAAAAGATTAAAATTTTAGATATATTTTGGATTACTTTGATTAGTACCTTTGATTGTGCGGATTATCATTCAAGCTCAAACCTTATAATGTGAACTCAAAATTCGATTATGAAGAAAATAATAGCCTGGTTTGTCATATTTGAACGATAGTGTGCGTCACGAGTGTGACACGATATTATAGGGCAATGGGTAAACAGAATAGAAAAAATGTACAATAATTTATAGATTAATCATATGTTTTCAAAGTTTGCAATTTTTGCCCATTTTTGCGAAAATGGCGGGGAGAATGTTTTGTTATGAAAGAAATTTCCTCCAAAACGATGATGACAATATAAAAAGAGTTCATTGTATTAAAATCTCTCTTTTTGGTTTTCTTCGAACATCTTCCACATATTAGCTTTTGATTATAAGGAACTCGTATGGAACGCACGACTACAACCGGAAACGGAGTATTCTCTGGAACAAACGGAAACCAGTCACAACTCAACGGCGACTTCGCAAAATCCCAATCCCACGCGAGAAATATTACAGGTAAAAAATGTTAGTTTGCTTTACTATTAATACAATTATATGAAATAATATCCCTACTTCTTTTCACTACAATTTCATCATAAAATGCAATAAATACGTAGGACGTAATACGATGTTTTATCAATCTAATGTATAATGAGTCTTTTAAATCACCACTATTTATTTTTGAGAAGTTACGTATCATTCATCATTAAACTGATCAAAAATATATGAAAATAATTACAGATAATTCTACAATACTTTTTCACATAGTAAAATGTAAATATTATTACGTAAAAAACTTGCAATATTTCAAAATATAAATAACCAGAATTTTAAATTAAAATATTTAAAGTTTTCAGAACTTGAGCCTCTATTAACTGCAATGTTCTTAAAAATGATACCATGGCCACTTGTGATGAAGTTTGTAGTGTCAGAAATTTCAAAACAATTTTAATAAAAATTCACTCGAAAATGGAGGTTACTTGTACATTACAGGAAACCACTGCCCGTCTGCTGTTCATGACTGTAAGATGGGTTTGTTGTCTACCACTATTCCAGTCGCTATCAAAAAACGATCAATTATTATTGCTCGAAGGGTCCTGGACACAACTTTTTCTTCTTCACCTAGCACAATGGTCCATATCTTGGGACATTACCGGTCTGTTAGAGGACGAACAGATACGTGGAAGATTTTCGAAGGATGAAGTTGGGATAAATCAAGAATTAATTATCATACAGGTGCTCAAGAATTAAGTTCATTAATTTTTCAATTATCATGTATGAACGTAAACATCGTATGAAAATTTTAATGAGTAAAATTATGATAATAAACTTATGAACACTGTGGATACAAATGATAAGTATAAATTAATTATATAACGTATTTAACCATCATGACTATTTATTATTAATTTATTTTCTAAGTTCAACTTAAATGTTCATAGAATTTGATAATAAGAATAAAATTCTTTTTCTGAAAATTTGTAATAAATCACCTAAGAGAATGTCAGAACCAAGCACAATTTTTCAACATAAATTAAACTGAATGGATTGATATTTAAGTTACAAGAGATAAAAAATAATGTAATCTAAATATAAATCCTAATTTGTACAATTTTAATTATTAAAAATTTGTTTCAGGCTATAGTATGTCGTTTCAGACAACTTTCACCCGATGTCGGTGAATGTGGATGCATGAAAGCAGTAGCATTATTCACTCCAGGTAAAAATCTTAAAAAACCTTAAAATACTTAAACATAGATAAGCTTTTGCGTGTCTATGTTTACTATTTAATTTTAATTACCAAATGATGAAACAAAATTTTTGTAGCAAAATAACATTGTCAAATTTCTGTTGAAAGAGAATTTAGAATACTGATTAAGTGTTAAAATTGATATTGACTCATTCATCAATATGGTAAAATTGATATTGATTAATTAATCAATGTGTTAAAGTTAATATTGACTAACTAATTAGTGTATTATAATTGATACTGAGTGATTAATCGATGCGTTAAAATTAGTATTCACTAATTAATCAATATGTTAAAATTGATATTGACTCATTCATCAATACGTTAAAATTGATATTGATTAATTAATCAATGCGTTAAGGGTAATATTGAGTGACTAATCAATGTATTAAAATTGATATTGGCTAATTAATCACTGTGTTAAAACTGTGATATTCACTAATATTAATGAATGGATTAAAATTGATATTGACTAAGTAATAAATGTGTTAAAGTAAATATTAACTAAATAATCGACGTATTAAAATTGGTAACGTTTGTTAACAGAAACCGAAGGTCTCCATGCCACAGAGTCGGTTAAAATGTTACAGGATCAAGCTCAATGTATCCTAGGGGATTATACAACTTCTCGCTATCTGCGACAACCGGGTAGAAGCGGGACGTTAATGTACCTGGTCGGATATTTAAAATCCGTTTCCTCTAAGACCGTTGAACGTTTGTTTTTTCACGAAACCGTAGGTGAAATTCCCATATCTCGTTTGTTGGTCAATATGTATCAAATGGAAGGACACACGAATTGAAGTTTCCAGACGAAGTATGTAACAATTTTTCATGGCTTTCCAAAACTCTTCCAGTTCTCATTCTTACGATGAATTAGAGAAGTTTTCGAAAGACCTGTAACCAAAGACTGTGACTGTACGAAAAGTTTCTGATCTTTTCACGAGTAGTTCGTTTAATTGAATCGAGTAATAATAAAATATCTAAGATTCATGTTTAATTAGAATTGCAGAGCTTTAATAGTGATATTATTTCCAACGAGGTATCTTGTAAATTTTTATTTAAAAATTTGTAGGATTTGTAGAATTTAGAAACTGTAAATTTTTAAACATTGTTTATTTTTTGTTATTATTTGTTAATTACGTTGTAACATTATCAAGTGCAAATATATTTATGATTGAAAGAAATTTTAAAATCGATCAGAATCCCGGAATTATCATGGTGAGAGCTGTACACTTTTTATAAAATAAATTGTGTGATAGTTCAGTAAATAGTAGCGTATACTATGATTCTTCCAGTAAGTTGAGAAGCAGAAATTTTAATACATTAAATTAAAGTTTCAATCTTCCGTTATATTGAAAAGTTATAATATACTTATTTTAATTATTTAAATATGTTTTATGTATATACGTATATAATAACGCTAATTTATTAGTGTTCGATTTAACATATCAGTATAATTATTTTCTTCCGAATTTATGTATAATTATATTTTTTAAGTATTGTTATGTGTAATTTAATAATTAATTTAATAATTATTTCTTTGTAATTTAATAATTTTTTTTCAAACACATTTGTCATAATGATTTAATTTGGATATTCTTATTTGCTTCATTTTTATATACTTGTTAGAAACAAATTTTTCCTTTCTAAAATAGATACTGTTTATACATGTTAGTGTGAAAGTGATTTATGCGAATCTGTAAAAACGAGGAATAACTAAAACGAAATTGTAAAAAGCATTATATAGTATTAATGGTGCTTCCCCCGCCTAATCCCATGTCAGTGTACAAAATTCATAATTTAATTTAGTAAATTAGTTTTTAAACGATATAGGGTTTGTAAGAGATAGATAACGATACAGAATAATTTTTTAAAAATTTGTTAAATCCCTATTGTAATAAAACAAGAGGCGAAAATTTTAATGTCATGGTTTAATTACAGTAAGTAATGATGTTAATAAAATATCGGATGAAATATTCTGTACTAATGATTGTATTAAATAAATAAAAAATTGTATTATTTAACACAGCTGCATCACGGTGAAAATTCTTTTATGTTCAAAATTCTAATATAAATAATAATTATTTTCAAAATGTAAACATGTTATTATAATTGCGGCAATATTTATTTAAAATGTTATGAAATATATAATAAATTTCAACTATTTACTAATTTTCACAAATTGCAGCTTCTTTTCTCCTACGTCCTCATTTCTCGGGCTAATGACCATAGTAGTCGACGCCCACAACAATGATCAATTAATCAACGTCCTCATTTCCTTTAAAGTTTAATTTACTAATTCTCTTCCTCAAAAGATGGCGCTCTACTAAATTTCCTTTATGGGAAGTCTAGGACTGCTCATCTTTACTGAATACTACATAATCTATGAATTTTAATATGGCTGCACCCATGGCTGGTGTTGAAAGCATGATTGTATATATTAACCTAAGTTTTTAAGTTTATACATCATTTTCGATAATAACTGAAGAAGTGACAATGATGCAAAGTAAAATATTTGTAAAGAACCGCGCATTAGGATATGTTTCTAATCATATTCCTCTTGTAACAAGATACATTCGAGTGCGACATGAAAATCTTATAGTGACATGTATTGGTAATGCATTTGTCACGTTCAGTGCCACGCATTTAAGATTACTTGCTATATCAGGGACACATCCAGGTGAAATTACATGCCTTGCTGCAGATAGTCTTCTGATTTATACAGCATGTAGGAATGTTGTTTATGCTTGGAAAAGGGGAACGGAACTGAAACATACTTACAAAGGTCATGCACACACGGTGCACAGTTTACTACCTTTTGGACCACATTTAATATCTGTTGATGAAAATAGCGACGTTAAGGTTTGGGATATTAAATCAGAGGAGTTAGTACTAGAACTGAACTTTGGTAATAATATTTTTAAGATAACAACGTTAATGCATCCCAACACTTACCTGAACAAAATCTTGTTTGGAAGCGAACAAGGTCAGCTGCAATTATGGAATCTGAAACTTGCAAAATGCATTTATACATTTAATGGCTGGAAAGCACCTGTAACTGTGATTGAACAGGCACCTGCGGTAGATGTTGTAGCAATAGGCTTAAATGATGGAAGAATTATATTACACAATTTAAAATATGATGAAACAGTTTTTGACCTAGTGCAAGACTGGGGATGTGTAATATCAATCAGTTTTAGAACAGATGAGCATCCTATCATGGCAACAGGAAGCTTGGATGGTCATATCGTGTTTTGGAACTTAGAACAGCGTAAAGTTGAAAGTCAGCTTCAAAAAGCACATTATGGAGCAGTAACAGGATTACGGTATCTACCCAATGAACCACTGTTAGTTTCATCCTCCCCTGATAACTCTTTGAAAATGTGGATATTTGATATAGCTGATGGTGCTGGAAGATTATTGAGAATTAGAGAAGCTCATTCAGAACCTCCTACAGCTATTCGTTTTTATGGAAATGAAGGAAGAACTATATTAACAGCAGGAAGTGATTCATCGTTAAGAATATTTTCGATAATATCGGAGAAATTTAACCACAGTTTAGGCAGAGCATCATTTAACAGAAAAGCTTCAAAGAAGAAAGGAAAAGGCATCGAAGATCCTTTACTCATGCCACCAATTACTCAATTTGCCACAGAAACAACAAGGGAAAAAGAATGGGATAATATTGCAGCAACTCATTCTGGTTTAGGAACAGTTACCACATGGTCTTACGATAAAATGAAAATGGGAGAATATAAACTATTTCCTGAAAAGTTTAAAGGCAACCGCAATGTTACAGCAAGCAGTGTATATATAACAAAGTGTGGGAATTTTGTTCTTATTGGATATAATACTGGCCATGTAGAGAGGTTTAATATACAGTCTGGAATTCATAGAGCTAGTTATGGTAATGAAAAAGGAGCACATCAAGGACCTGTCAAAGGTATAATGGTGGATTCTTTAAATAAATTTGTTGTTACTGCTGGGAAAGATACTTATCTAAAATTTTGGAATTTTAAGCCAAGCAAAGGTAATAAATACATTTTGGTTTTATCTATTACATGTAGTAATACATAGACACTTTAAACTATTATATTAATTAATATGCTTTAATACTTCCTCCAATTAATATATTTCTTATAATTTTAAGAAAACACAGAGCCGCTGGCAAAAATGATATTGGACGAGCCAATTGAGTGGATACGACATCACAATGAAAATTCGCTTTTAGCTGCAGCTTTAGAAGACTTTACTATAGTACTAATAGACCTTGACACAAGAATAATCATCCGACGTTTCGAAGGACACGAAGGAAGATTAACTGATGCATGTTTTAATCCTGACTCCAGATGGTTAATAACAGCATCAATGGATAGTACAATCCGTACATGGGATATCCCATCTTCAAATTTAATAGATATATTTCAAGTACGTTTTCAATATAAGTTGTTAATATTTAGAAAATTAATTTTGTATTTGAAACTAGTTAAATGTAATAATATTTTTCAGGTTCCAGAAGCATGTACATCATTAGATTTTTCACCAACTGGAGAATTTCTTGCCACTATACATGTATGTAATCTTGGCATATATTTATGGTCAAACCGGACCTTTTATTCTCATGTTTCACTGAAAGCTGTGAATAAGGATGATCCAATTCCAATGATTAATCTTCCTGGATCAGTAGTTGAGGTTAATGATACTGCAGACGACGATCTTCTTGAATTAGAGCCAGAATATGTTTCTCCAGAACAACTTCATGACGAACTCATTACCATGTCTGGTTTAGCTCACTCAAGATGGCAGAATCTATTGAATATAGATGTTATAAAGAAGAAAAATAGACCAAAAGAATCACTGAAGGTTGCAGAAAGTGCTCCTTTCTTCTTACCTACGATTCCGTCATTAGAATTGAAATTCGATTTCTCAAATGTTGTGAATACAGAGTCAAGTGAGAAATTTATTACCCATCCCGAAATACAAAACCTTACTTTATTTAGCAAAACTTTATTAAGTGTTGAGAATAATGAATTTAGCGAGATAATTGAAAAATTAAAGTCAATGAGTCCGAGTTCTATTGATTTTGAAATTCAATCGCTTTCATCTGATGAAAAATCGTCGGGTACTTTATTACTTAAATTTATGAAACTGTTATGCTATATGATGGAGAAGAAGGTAAATTTTGAATTATCTCAAGCTTACTTAGCCGTATTTCTAAAGTGCCACGGTACAGCAATAACAGAAACAGAATTGTTAAGAAATTATTTAAGTATATTACAAGAATTACAATTGAAAAATTGGTTTTTGTTAAGGGATAAATTGTTTTATAATCTCAGCGTTGTACAAGCATTAAAAAAAATGTAATATATATTTTATAACAGTAAAGATAAGTTACTTTTTAATATAATTTTAAATATGATCATTATAAATGTACATTAAACACCTAAAGTATTGCGAGAAGGAGTTACAAACGTTCGAAAAATATCAAATTTATTGTATTTTACATATCTTAATTCAGTTGCGTCATCACATTCATAAAGTGTATTTTTTATAAAGAGTAATAGATTATACATAACATATGAACATAAATGTACAAAAAGACTGCGTTAATTACAACTATAGTTTGTATATAAATATAGTGGTTATAAAAATAATCTTATAATCTTTGTAACATATTCTGATACTGAAAAGTATCATATACCTAACAAGTATTTTCAAGTATGTACATAAAAGCTTATTTCGGACTACGAACATTATTCTTTATAAGTAAGAAAACTATTCATTTGTTCATTGACTGCCGGCTCCAGCGATAAATCATTGATATACGCTTCGTAATTTATAATAATTCTGTAAAGACTTCGTTTCGTTGCTGCACGCAAGGAACTGAAAATGTCTTTAATAAATTTATCATCTTCATTTTGTTTTTTTGTCATAATAGTTGTTTTCTGCAATTTATCAAGAGCTTGTTTTAACGAGAGCAAAGTACGTATTATGGATGGTAGATCCTTTTGTACAATTCCATATGGGTCTTCAGTTAGTGATAATACAGCTAAGGAAGAAATTGCTTCTGCAGCCCAAATTACTGATTGTCCATTGAATAAGGTATGACACACTTTACCACCTTCTACTTCACCAAATATATAGAAAATAAGTGGTTTAGAAAGTAAGTATGTAAGAAAATTATTCCATTTTGTTTTTATAAATTTTTGAATAAATAATTCATTGTCAACTTCTTTTTTTACATCAGTTTCTTGCATGGATATTGGCATTTCTTGCCTTACTAAGTTCCTCATCTGATATGAATATTCTTTTTGAAATGCAGTGGTAGTGGTCATTGTTGCTAAATTTGAAGCATCCAAGGTTAATTGTTCTTGAACTTTGACACATGCTGTACTCAGATCATCAGAAAATGTTTTAAGAAGACCAATACATTTTTCTACGATGCAGTTCCAATTGTAAGGGTGACCACCAGGTTGACTTAAAGTAAACAGTATATCTCTTCTGGCCTTCTCTTTTTGGGCTACAGTAACTAAATCCAAATAGCCAAGATGTTGCATTATAGGAACTTTATCCATAGATAATGCTTCTGGAAGTGTTACTCCACATTCATCAGTGTTAAATGCATTACTATGTTTAAATTCAAAAGGAATCCATTCTGTCAAGTATAATTCAAACAATAAATACATACTGTCAATTGCCAGTACAAATATCAATTGGTATAACCATAATTGAAAAATCAATGACAAATTCAGCAATTCAGGAATGTTATTCAATGGTTCAGTCTCTAACTGTGCAGATGTTAGGAATAAAATTATAGACCGGCAATAACAACCCACGAAATAGTAACCAACTAAATAATACAAAGTTGGCCATACAGATGTTACCATTAGCGATGGGAGCAACGAATATAGTTCTCTCTTAAACCGAAAGAATTTTGAAAGAGATATAATAGGAAATTTCAAGTACTTCACATGAAAAATACTGGTTTTCAAGTAAAAGTATAATCCACTCCAGTATCCACTCAGCAACAGAAAATAATGTTTTTCTATTAAACAAGTTCCATAGACTATTTTACATTCTGTCGTTAAAAATCTGTGTGTATCGCCTTTAAGTGATAAGTGTAACCAAACAAGGAGGCCACCGATGATGATATGCAGAGTACCTAATATGAGATTTTGAGACGTGAATACTGCACAAAACTTTGTAAATCTGCTCTTCAAGTAAGGTGGAGTATTTGAATAATTTTTACTACAAATGATTCCTTGAAAAAACGTAACTATGGCGAGGACACAAAAATAACTCCACATTCGGAAGGAGGTTACCGTTGTCCATGTATTCTGAAGCCATGATGTATAATCCGTGTTCATATTTGTAATTAAAAGTAAACAACACACCAGAAAGAATTGAACTGTTATGCTGCTGATAATAGCTAAGAACATTCTCTGCATCAACAGTTCCTTGCATCCTTTTTTATTCATCTGCATCTTGTTTACTGGAAACGATTAACCTTCACTTTCTTTATGAAATTTTGTAAATTGTAATTTCTTGAACAATTTTGTAAATAGTCCGTGAATAATTATACTTTCACGACAATAAACTCTATATAAATTTATCAATTACTTTGTGCATTTTAAATCTTGAAATACTTGTTAATATAAAAAACAGTCATCACATGTATTTGCAATTTCAAAAAGCCGGTAGCCCGGCTTTAAATTTTAGAATTTGCTGACGAAATTTCCGTTGCATTCATTACACATGCCTTTATGGCTGTTTTCATGAAACAAATGTTAAAAAGGTTCTATTATTCGTTAATGAGGGATTATTATATTTGATAAAACAGTGTTTAAGCATCGTGTTTGATATTATTAAAGTTGCTGTTCCGTATCAAAGTTTATTAAGAAAATTATGTGAATACTATAATTCTTTATTAATGAAATACAACTTGAATGAGCAGTGTACAATTTCTCTACAATTTTCATTCATCTATGTACTCTATGATCCTAGCAAGAAAATGTAAGTCAAGTGCTCGATAGGTTTTCGAACCCGGCCAGGAACTATTCATTATTCAGCGAAGGTTGCCTTACTAGTAACATCTTTAATTAACCCGCATGTCATTTTCAATGTGCCTATTTATATAGTATAAACAAAATGGATTAAAATCTTGCAAGAATTAATTTTGATTATTTTATGGAGCTTACGAGTGTCCGCCGTCATGTGGAAGTGCCATAAATGTGGGAAACCAGTATACTTCGGTTAGTTCCAATGTTCACATAGATTAAAAAGACGTACTGATTTTGACAAGTACCGTTTCCTGTCATTACATTGAATTCAACTCATTTATCTTTCATTTATGTTACATATATTTCTTGAGTACAAACATTATTTCCACAGCAATTTTTGTATTTGTATGTTAGATTGTTCATTATTAACTGCATAATTATTTTTGTAATAAAAAAAAGCCATATTAGTTATAAGATTATATTTATTGTATTGGAAAAGAGTGTTTAACTTTTCTAATATTTAAAAAAGACGTATGTGTATTTAATTCAGTATCAATTTAAGTTATGAATTTAGTGTATTTTAACTATTTGAAAATAAAATTCAATGCATAAATATTTTCATTAAAATATACAAAGGAATTTTAATTAATATTTAAATTTTATATCATTATTATACAATTATATCATTAGACAATTTTTAGAGATAAAACAGATGTAATTTCTGCAAATATACACGTATCTTTTCAGTGAACAAGTATTTAAATAAATCTGTGTTTTTAGCTGAACGTAAACAATCATTGGGGTATGACTGGCATCCTGAATGTTTACGTTGTGAGGAATGTGGGAAACGTTTAAATCCAGGCCAACATGCAGAGGTACAATAATATTTTTTGTTAAACTACTAATAATGTATTAAAAGCTTATTAGTATGTTTAAAAATAAACTTACAATACATGTTTTACATATTTTTTATTGTAATTAATACATCCATAGTCACCTAATCCATATATGGGTCAGCATATATTCTATTCGTGTATCTCTTGACCCATATATGGATTGAGAGGTTCCAAATAATTAGTTCAATCAATTTTATAGATCTACTAATAAGAAGTGTGGTTTGAGTTTGGATTGCAAATTAATCAATTATAATTAATTATGTTTATTGACTGCTACTTATTGTTAACAATAGAATAAAAAAATATAAACTATTTTTTATATGATATTTCATAGCACAAGGGTGTACCATACTGTCATGTACCTTGTTATGGAGCCCTTTTTGGGCCACAGTTATTTGGTCATGGAACAAGAGTTGAATCACATACAAGTTTCGGAAAAAAAGAAGCTAGGCCTTCATTACCCAGGTATGAAATTTGAAATTTTATCATAAAAGGGTCCATTGCATTCTTTATATTAATAAAATTTTATAATATGCAGATCACACTTAGAGTCAAAGCTAAAAGTGTTTAACCAATATTATGAAGGCAAAAGCGGTGGAATACGAAGTCGTGAGGTGGGTAAAATTTTTATTTTATACTCTTATCTAGAAAAAATTCAAAGTGATAAAATTATTGTTTTATAGGTTAATGGAAGATTGATACTGGAAGGAGCACTTCGGATTTATTGGGGTGTTAGGGGAGTAATTCATTTGAAGGAAGATGATGATCAACGTACAGTAGTTACCGCTCGAAACCGGAATTCGTGCAGACGTAGTGTTTCCGATGTTCGTATCTTTTCTTGTGTAACTAAAAACTTGTGTCTACAAATTTATAAGTTTTTACATTTCTCAAATCTTTGTAACAGAGTATAGAAGATGAAGAAAAAGAGGATAATATAGAGAAGGATACAGTTGAGCAAGATGTGGAAACTGAAGCAAAATCTGTCCCAACTTCTCCCGATCATCTTAAGAGTCTCACTTTACCAATGAAACTAGATGTTAAGACCATGGAATGGGATGAATTGGATGAGCTTCTTCAGGTTGTGTGTTAATAATTTTACACAAATATGTTTATTAATTTTAATGTATTGTTATAATCTGGAATTTAATGTTATAGGTTGAACGTAAAGTTGAAGATGGAAATAAGTTATATCAAACAATGCCAGAAAATCTGCCATCGATTAGTTCACAAAGTAGTACCGAGGCATTACCGCTTTCCTCTCAATCAAGTTTTGATAAATCTGATTCCCGCGAAAATTCAGAAGCGAGCAGCCCTAATCATCAGAGTAGTCGTGGCAATGACAGCAGCGTAACTAGCACACCAACGCATAGTCTAGGTAGTTCGTCCAGTACCGATACACCTGTTTACCATGGAACACCAAATCGAAATGGTACGCTTCGAAGGGTAGAATATTTCGATAGTCTGGAGAAAAGTATGTCTGGTAATAGATCAATCAGTACCGATGACAGTTGGATAGAAAAGGGCTTAAATAGATCGATGTCTGGACCTGACTGTCTTCAGAGACATCGAACTGATAGTGATACAGATTCCGTGAATTCTCTTCAGTTTAGGGAGGATGATAACATGACAATGTCTACTGATAGTGGCTTAGAGGTATTTAATAATTATATCTGTATTTTTGTATACATTATTTTTTTTATATACATATTTATGATATATTTTAGCTGGATGGTGTAGTTTTACGACGAAAACAAGGATCTACTGCTATTCGACGTCGTCCTGGAGGTCGACGACAATCTCGAAGCCGATTGCGGCGTCGTTGTTCCATTAATGGACATTTTTACAACCGAGAAACCAGTTTCTTCACGCCACCGCATGGATCGCAAATGTCCGTGTGGATTACGAGTTTAGTGAATACTCAAGAAGTTATCAATCTCATGTTAGATAAATATAAAGTCGATGCCAAACCTGACAACTTTGCTTTGTTCGTGGTTCGTGATAATGGCGGTGAGTTAAATTATTTATTTTATAAAGTATTATTTAAAATTGATGTCGCCAAGTTGAAGTCGTCAAACTCAATATTTTTAAATCTCCACTTTTTGGGTATTTCAACCCATTACTTACCCAATTACTGATTTATACAATATAAACTGTTGTTTTAAAAAATGTATTTTATTTTTACAGAACAGAGAAGATTACGAGATGACGAATATCCTCTGGAAGTTCGTGTCGTGTTGGGTCCACATGAAAACGTTGCACGGCTCTTTTTAGTAGATAAACTATCCACACCGGAAATTAGCTCTGACGTTGCGCAGTTTCTTAATCTTTCTTTGGCGGAGTGTCACGGTATTTTGCAGCGTTATCATTATGAGGAAGAGCGCCAGATTCTTCTACTAAAGGAAAAGTATGTCTTCCTGAAAACCTATATTACCTGTAATAATTAATTCTGTCATATCACAGTACCTTGAGCACTGATTTTGTTATGCTTTTTTTCATTTTTAATGTTGTGATATTTTATGTTATAGAATATTTTAATTTGATATTTTAATTATCATAAAATAAATTGCACGAGTTAGAATAAATAAAAATGAGACTTATTTTTATTTTTCAGGTATAAAGAAATGCGACGAAGAATACGGCAAAGAATGGAAGAGTTAAAGGTCCGACTATAGTTAGTATCCACTATATCATTATTTTTTTATTAATTTTCATTGGAAAATCCTTCCTTTTTTCTTTATATATATAAATTATTCATCAAAATGTATTGTTGTAATCGTCTTGAAGGTATGTATTGCAATAACGATACATAATCTTTAGTCTATGATATATCTAAACGTTCGAACGTACTAAAGAGATTTATTACCATTTTTGTTGATATTTTTAAAACTTGTTGCTGAAGAACTAATTCCTATAAATCTTTATCTCTTCAGTTTTTAATAGTTCTTAGTATATAATATTATAAACCGAATAACGTTTATTATAATTAAGTTTGTAATCTCTGATTCGATGAATCACTTAACACGAACGTACTACCGTTATATTTTAAAGGAATTAGTTTCTCGAAGCTAACGTGAAATGCAGCAACTATAAAAACGACTTTGTAGCAGAGATCTCGTGCGATTCGACCCCGAACCACTCATTTTATTGGAAAAGTGATTTACGTTCGAGCGTGCAACGAGCGATAACATGCTAACACATTATAGCCTAAAGTCTAGTTGTTACATTATCCAGCTTTATTCATTATTTTTTTCATGTTTTTGTTGCATTTATTCGTAGTCATTTGCGCGCAGCTACTATCGAATTACTTAGTGCAATTTAACTAGAAATTCGTCTATCTAAACGATATATTTTTTAAGTCGACTGTTTATCGAGCAAAAGTCACGCGATCAGCCAAGCCATCGATTAAACATGATGTCTTATCAAATTGTTATCATTGCAAGTATAATGCATTACTATATTGCTAATATCACTAAAAAACCAGCGAAATCGAATTAAATTTATGGTTAGGATGGACATCATTGACGTAATTAGGTAGAGCCTAAATTGATCTTAATCCCACCTTAAAAATTATTAGAACGAATACCGAACCGGCTTCCTTAGAGGTTATGGTGACATAGGGAGAGGAGATACATTCATTACAATATTTGGGATTCGTTCATTTATGATTTAAAAATTAAAAAATTAAAAAATTTTGAAGTTTGAAAATTTTTAATATGTATCTATTAGTTTTTAGGAATGTTTGTGTTTCCTTTCTTTATATTGCCATTTTTTAAATATCCTAGTTACGTCAATGTTCTTGTAGCAAATAAGTACCATATTAAGTCAATTTCCAATTAATTTCTGATCGAAACAGAACAGAATTTTAATAACAGAACTAATACTTCCCGTTTAGAACGAAATATGATTAGAATCTAAACGCAAGGCTGTCCAACTTCGTACCTCGTGAGGATTTTAATAATTTTCTTTCCACGTAGGTGCCAAAAAAAAAAAACGAAAGAAAAAAAGATGTATATTGAATGGAGAATGAACATAGAATTTTAACGAAGGAATTGTTGAATTTGAAATGGAGATATTAGAGAAAGTGTAACGTTTTAAAAATATATGTATGTGTATATATATATATTGTCCAGATGAAAATAATTATAAACAATATAGAACTGTACCTTAGAACAGTTTTTAGTTGGACAGCTCCGTATCCGTAGATAATAACATTGTTAATTACTCGATAGTAATTTTCGACACTTGTCACTGCCGCAGTTTACTAGATCAGCGATGAAAGTTTTAATTATAGATTATAGCATCGTATCAAAACTAAAATTGCTTTGAACGTGAGTTGACTTCCACGCTTCGTTTCGAGAGATATTTTAATTGACGTGATCGATTCGTGAATTAGTTTACTATTTCTACTTTATCAAAGTGTAATTGTAATTTTGCGGAAACGATTTAAATAGTTGTTTCGTCATATATTGCCGATGAGAAATTATTGTAGCGAAAATTTTGGAACTTTGTTGCGATTAATGGATTTTGAAAAATTCTTTTTATATTGTGGTACTTCATGGTTATTTACATTATTATTCAATTTTTTAAAGAATTAGATTAGTAGATTACACTAGAATTTTTCCAAAATATTACATTTAAAAATTCTCAAGCAACTAATTTAGAAATTCTGAAATTTCTTCAATTCTTAAATATTCAATTCCAAGTTCCAAGTTCATAAATATTGTATTTCCAATTCCTAAATATTCAATTCACCGAATTTTCAAATTTCTAAATTTTTAAATTCTTAATTTCTCATAATTCTAATTTTTCAAATTTTTAAACTTCCAAATCTAAATCTAATTTAAAATGTTTCAATCTTTAAAGTCCCAAATTCTCACAGTCAATCATACCCAATTATCATAATTTGACTTGCAAATTTTATTTTGAAAGATATTTTTACTATTATAACTTGCACTGCAGCTTCACAGTTATTTCTTCAATTTTAAAATAATGAAAGTAAAATAATAAAATTATAACGAGCTTCCATCTTACTAAAACAGCTTCATACTTACAATACCACATTTTTCTTTCTTACGAGAGTTTTGAGGATTTTACTGTTCAATCTATTGCACTTATTTATTCTAATGTTGCAGCTAACATTATCAAAAAAATACTTTGAAAATATGTTACATACATTCAGCTTTTGTGACGAAAGAATTTTTCAACATCACTTTTTCACAAGTTTCCAAAAACGTTTTAAAAGTCGTACACTTTGCAATATTTCATTGGCATTTTCTTAGCATTCCGATTCTACTCCAGAAAGAACTGTTCTGATGTATTTTTTGAAGACTTTTTAGAGATCCCTTTCTATACAGTGTTTTTTGATGAGGATTGCACGAGATTTGCGTTTAATTAAAATACTTTTATAATTCAACACCTTTGAATAAAAAATATTAATCTCTGTTTTTAAATCATAACAAATTACATTTTCAGTCAAACATATTCGATCAATCTTTCAAGCATAAAATGTTCAGTTAAAAAGAAATGAGAAAATGCAGAGAAGAGAACAAGTTAAAAAGTATTAATTACCATGACAATAATTTATTGACTTTCTTCTTTATTTACAATTTCGTAGTTATTAAGGTAAGAATGCAGAGAATCTTTGCAAGACCTAACTTAGAAATAAGAATTAAAAGACAATATGAGAAACGTTTCTTCTTTTAACTGGAACAACGAAGGCACTCTCATGTTTTTGTAATTTTGCAATTTTGGATTTCGTGCAATCCTTATTCCATTACACCCTGTGTATCATAGAACTTCTACGAACAGTTGTTATGTATCTCAAAGACTTTTTAACTTCCGTGTGTAGACGTGGTCCAGACAACCGGAAGTACTTACGCACAGTTACGATTGTACAGTTACAGAAGAGTCTGATATTGCACACTTGGTAACTAGCTTTTCGTTGAAAAATAAAAAAGGTGTACAGCGAAGAGTGTACAACGGTGCAGATCGATTTTGACCGTTGTTTAGGACAATAGATACCTACCGATCTATAATCATAATTCTAAGCTAGTCACTTTTCTGAATAGTCACACATAGGTCAAGATGGAGTTTATTTGAGTTTTTTAGACGGACGTTACACGCACAATTTTTCGAATCAGCGATAATTTACTAGGTAAAACTCGTCGAATATTATAGAGGTGTTAATTAAATTTAGAATATTGTTAGTGAAATAATTGAAAAATGTAGACAGGATGATCTGATCAGTAATTCTAAATAGTAAGTTACACGATTAAGTTTAGCAAATTTTTTATAACTTTTAACACGACTGCCACGAATTTAATTCGAATAACATTATTAATATTATAAATGAAGATTTGAGTGTCGTATAAAATGACTCGAATAATTGTAGATAGAAAACTACAGTATTAGATTATAACAATCATTTTTAACATTTTTAACACTTGACTGCCACGGAAATTGTAGAATTTCTATGAATTTAATTTTAAATAATAAGTGGTTCAATTGTATTGACAATTTTAATACTATGCATAATCTGTGGAACAAATACAGTAAATAGTTTAAATTGTCTACAAAGTTGCGTTTTTAATAAAAATTATGTAAAACAAAGATTACTGTATCCTTTCTTGGAAAAAAAATAACATTTCTATTTTCAATTTTGTATCTCACAAGTAAAGTACTTTATGAAGTTCAGAGATTATGGATTAAAAATCGAGATTCTGTGTTTGTGAGGTTATGTAGATCTAAGGGGATAAACACAATGAGCTATGCTGATGTCTGACCATAAAAGTGATTATACTACTTACTACATACTCATTGCCACCTTTAACTAATACAATCTATCATTAATTGATCTCTCTAGAAATACAAAGTAGATCTCTGTAGTTAAAATGAAATATTGCATTTTAAAAAAAGAAAACATATCATTCCATTAACAAAAAATGATAATCATCTCGAAAGTATCTTAGTCTTAATCTATAAAAATTGTAATTGTTGATAAATAAGATCTTCCTCCTTCAAATTTACAATTATTTTGAAAAGAAAATAAAAGTAACTTGCTGAGATTTTTAATTTCTTCGTCAATTTATAACTTTGAGCGTGTATCGTTCGTCTAAAATTTTACGAATAATTTTGATGGCGTTTTAAAATAAATTTTAACCAAAACATCCGAAATACACATATAATGTACAGAAAAAAATGTGAACGTGGACTGGGCCACGTTAAACTATACCGTAACATATTACATGGTTTATTTGTTAACTGATAAACTTTCGAACGATAATTAACGGTGTAACGATAAAAAAAGTATATATAAAAAAATAAAAAATATCGAACTTCCGTCGAAGAAGTCGTATCGGTAGGCTTTTTCTTTAGTTTTTAGGCAGCTTTTGCTAGCTATTGTAATTAAGAGTACTCGATATAGAAGAAGCGTTATATCGGTGAACATTGTATTTGTCACTTGATTTTTTTATTGTTCTTTCGAATGTTACGTAAAACTCGGTACATGTAACAAGAAAAGCGTTTCACAAATATGAGATTGAAAAAATAGGGAGGGGAAAGAAGAGAAGAAGGGAACAGAAGTGTATGTACAATAAAAAAGTGGAAGCGTTTGTTCAGAGATTAAATAGATTTAAAAATACTCCGTACCATGACATATTTGAAGCGAATATCGACAAGAATAACGATACTCGACTTGTCGAGGCGTATCGAAGTCCAAAACTACATAGATGTGAAATTGTAAAGATACAAAAAATATATACGAAATGTATACTGAAATTTGTATGAAATCGTTGAGAAAGTAATAAAGTGATTGCTTCTTTTGTATAATTGTTGTTCTTTACCTGAGATAATTGTATAATGTTATGGTAAGTGGAAAAGGGGATGATTTTGGTTGAATTATTGCCTGGTTGTTATGGAATGTTAAATTATATCAGAAAATATTATTATTACTAGGTGACATTTTATAAAAATTCACTAGTGGGAGTAGGGAGACAAGGGAATACATTTATTCTCAAATTTTTAAATCTTCTAATTTTTAGATTTGTCGGAAATGCAATTCACGACACTTTTCCTGCATAATCGAGTTGTGCCTTCTTGATTGTTTTTTATCAATGTATGAGCACGTTGACAACAGTTTTGTTATAATCTGTTCACTCTTGTTTTTTAATCGCCATGATATACACGTTCAATGTTAAAATGTTAAGATAAAGTTTTTACATCAAGATATTGTGTTTGCTCTTTATTTGGTTATAAAACTCTCTGCCTGCTCCTTTTCAATAAGATTTTTCATATTTTGAAATTACTTTTCATTTCTTTTTCCAAATTTAGCATATTATCAAATCTCTACATTTCTTAAATATCCAAATGTCCACTTTCCTCAAGTTTTCAAATTTTCAAATTTCCCAATTTCTAAAATTTTTAAGCTTATTGCATTCTTTAAATTTTTAAAATCCCAATCTACTAATTTTTAAAATTGGCAAACTTTGAAATCCTCAAATTCCTCAAGTCCTTAATTTCTCAAACTTATAATTTTCCAAATCTATAAATTTTCTGAATTTTCAAATTTCTAAACTTTTCAAAATCTCGAACTTCGAATTTTCCCAAATTTCCTAAATCTTCAAATTCCCAAACTTTTCAATTTTGCAAATCTCCAAGTTCTTAAAATTCCCAAACTCTCAAACACATAAAAATTTCCACAATAAAAAGTCCATAAATTTCCATACCTATAACATCATATCATATGATATGAAAGATCTCTTTATATTATCACATAAAAGATTTATAGATTCTAGACTAAAATGATACACTATAAATTTCGTATGTCATACAAAACATTTATTAATTCGTTGGAATCACATGTACCTCTTGCATCCTCAAGCATATTCTTACCCGAATAAAAGGACGTTTGAAACATCGTACGTGACCGTGTATGGAGGGTGCGTGTGAAAAATAAAGGTGCCAGCTGTGAGATTGGACAGAATGTATTTATTTATCTTTGAAGTACGTAGAGTAAAGTAGATCAATGCAATG